AATATTATTTTGGATTTTATTAATGTTTTTCATAAATATTTAGTTTTTGAAAAAGTGAAATGAATTGTTTTAGTAATACACATGGAATAAAGTATTTTGAGTTTGAATTGGCTTTAGATTATTATAATGAATATGGGAATTTAAATACATACTACATTATTCATATATTTACATATATAACCCTTAAAACTTTCATATTTAGATGTGTAACACTCAAATTTCTTACATCACATTCAAAATATTGCTATCACTGATATTTTAAAAATAGAATATATATTTTCATGCAAATATTTTCAATAACAAGATGTTATAAAAGTACATATCAAACTATAAGTGTTAGGTATAAATGTAAATAGATATGAATTGTGTGGTACGTTTGTAAATTTTTCTAATAAATATAGCAAGTCATAATATGTCAAATGAGCCAAATGTCCCAAAAACTAACTCTAGTAATTCCCATATTATTTTCTAAAAATAATTTGAAAATACAACTTGATCATTATTTTATAGCTTTATTTTGAGGAAAAAATATTGTTATTTTACCAGATTTTTAATTTTCTTTTTTTAACTATTTAGGCCTTTTTCACAGTATGATGTCCAAGGGACATAGCATAAAGGAGAACATGTCATCTTTGAGATGATGACAAGGGATGACTCTGAAGCCACTGAATCATATATAGCATATTAGAGAAGCTGACATAGGAAAAAAGTAAGCTCTTCAATGACATTTATGTTTCGATTATTATGTTCCTCTAACATTATGGCAAACATTATTAGTTAACTTTTTTATAATGTCATCATTTGTCGATGAACCTTAAAGGCACTTAGATTAGTGGTTTGTGCGTGCCGGATGGGAGACTAGCACTGATTGACCACTGGACAACGGGGTCAATCACATTAAGTTCATTTTCGATCAACGATTCTATGAACACGACTCAGATGCCCATGATGACCATTTAAACTTAATCCAAATGAATATCAATATTTAGATTAGTACGACACATCATTTAATAAATAATATTGACAAATTAGTTGTTAATTAAGAGAAAAGAAACAAATATTAAGATAAAATTAAAATGATAATGTTTCCATGTCATTTGATTGTCTGTTTTTGAAAGCAAAAGGTTGAACAAAAAATAAATTAGGCAGACCAACTTATCCCAAAAGTGGTTGCTAACATCAACACATGGAAGAGGAAAGTTTTGCTCTGAACATTAACATGTGGTTATGAGTCACATGATGAAAGTTTTAACTTTAAAAGTTGGTTGGTAATAATCCTTTTATTAAGCTTGCTAGTGAACCGGGTGCTTGCCACGTTTTTAGTTGTTTGGCACAGTTAATACTCATCATGATTAAAATATGTTAAGAAGCATAATTATGGCTCAATTATATATATATATATATATATATATAGAGAGAGAGAGAGAGAGAGAGAGAGAGAGAGAGAGAGAGAGAGAGAGAGAGAGAGAGAGAGAGAGAGAGCAGGATTTACCTTTGAGCATGTTTGGAACTAGAGAGAGGATGATCTATGGGTCACAAATGGGAATGGGTGCAATGGCGAAGCCTAGAGCTAGAAGGCCTCCCAGTACGATTCCATTCGTTGAGTCTCTAAATCCATGGTTTGAATTCCATCTATGCAGGAAGGAAGGCGAGAAAATGGGCCCTTTCATTCATCTAGGAAAAAAGACTTTTCACCATGTTGCATGTCTCCTTTGGGAAATTATTTGGGTGATGGAGTTGTCGGCCAATCTACAACTTCTCCACCTTCTAGTCTACTCCCTTTTTTTTTTCCTTCAGACTGTGCTAAATGGGAACTCACATACAAGGTCAATGATTTCCAGCATCCTGATATGACACAAAACACCTCTTCGTCAATGTTGGGTCCTAATCGCCTTCACAACTTTTCATTTTCCCTGTGCACCTTGAATGGAAAGGTTAGTCAACTGGGTAGAACCTAGTCGAGTTAGACACATTAAGTTATTCCCTTAAGGGGACTCGGTCAATGCTTTCAACATTGTGTTGTGGTTGAGGGAGGGTAATCATCTTCATGACACATAACATGTCTTCATCAATGCTAGTTCCGATTTCCCTTTGCAACTTTTCATTTTCCTTCTGCACCTTGGCCCAAAAACGTAGTCAATTGGGTAAGTTTTGGTTAAGTTGGACACACTATACACTTCCCTTCTAATGGGGTTCAAAGTTTTCGCCACATCCGTTACAAGTTTGTGTGTGTGTAGACACACAAAGACACACTCAAGAGTTTGCCTTGTTGTTACTGATTAAAATTTCTTGCTATTGTTTGAGTTTATAAAATCATGATTGATTATGATACAAGTGGTGTTTAAGATTATTTAAAATATCATTCTAGATTTTAATTTTTTTTAAATATTTAATGATTTTTAACATTATTGAAAATACATGCTACCAAATAATATCATATGACAAACATTAATACACAAAATAATCATTGTTAATGTTTCTCAAATATTTAGACACATGCTATATGGGGAAGCATGGTCTCTATCATTCCAAATTCTTTTATTTTTATAGCTAACAAACATGTAGACTTATTTTAATGTCACAAATACGTTTTGACTTTTTTTTTAGTCAATGGAAGATATGTATTGTACAAAAGTCATCTTGACTATTTAAAGTTGATCATTTTTATGATTATTTTTAATTAATTAATGAAAATTAAAAGGGTATGAAAGGTCTCATGCATGATTATTTCCATAGCACGAATTTTCTACTTTAAATTAATT